CGAAATAATGGTACATTCATCTGGATCACTCGTAAAATTTATCTTCTCTAAAATATAACAAAATTTAGTACACTAATTTTGATTAAAAAATATTTACGTTGCTTGTCGTATTAAAAGTATACGATATCGCAGAATGGATCTCTTGTTAGCATGTTCTTGAAGCAAATTGAACGCCAATTTATGCGAATAAACTCGTATAAAACGTGGATATCGTTACTGTATTCCATCGGTGGCTCCTCATTTTCATTTTAAATTATAAATTATATTTTACAATAAGCCTCTTGTCTTCCTGTTGCATTCTTCCACGAAGACGTTCCTCGTGATATACAGTCTGCTGTAAATACGAGATAAGAAGAATAGGAAAAGATCGGTGGACAAGGTCTCTCTCTTACTCTTCTCCTCAAAGAAGAGAAAACGATTACTTTTCTTCACTTTCGTAAAATTTGATCTATCGGCGTTTGTAATATTTTTTCGCTGTAATTTTAGACGAAGATCTTGATCATATTATCCGCCTGATCTTTTCCATTTTGAATTTCAAACTCATTTGCAGCTAACACGATGCTAACGAGAGTCAAATTGGCGAGTAACATCGCGTTCAATGGTTTAACACCGTTATTGTATTAATTACATCTACAATTATCCAGGCAGGATGAGCACCGGAAAGCAAGGGTCAATTATCTAAATTGCGCGCGCAGAGCAAGCCACGAAGCATCGGAATTATCGTGTCACCATTGTTTTTCCAGCTTGTTGTATCTCATTTCGGAGATCTTGATCGTAAAACCGTCCAAAAAATTCCACTTTTTTTCCAACAGATGATTCATACCCAATTATTCATACTCATCAACATGTTTAGACATCGGTAAATACGATGCGATAGCAAAGAATAGCGAATGATCCAGAAAACGCGTACAAGTGGTGTTATAAAAATTCACTGGACAATTTTATCAAAGTGTTCATTGATTTATGAACAGTTTCCAGCGATCATTGACATGTACAAAATTTGCCGATCTAAAATGATTAGGAAAAATGAGACTCCTTTGAACCCGAAATGAACGCAACTTGGATATGCGTGAAATACATTCCTTCTTTAACGCTAAAACTATCGAATGTGTCGAAATGACTAATTTCAGGCTTTCTATTTTTACAGTTATCGAAAATATGCAGCTGTTTTGACAAAATAGTTGATCTTTATTAAGATAGATAGAACATAATTATATATACTTATTTGTCTACGTTATATCGCCATTTTTATTATCTATGTAATTATTATTATCTGTGTACCACATTTATATATACATTACAGATCGATGGAACTAGTATTTAGTTATATCGAATATTCGCTGTTATTAAAAGATATTTTGGTAAGCCTATTCTAACACTCGATATATTTCAGTCGATAATTTCTCGACAGTCTATGAAAGAATCCAGCTTTTCGATCTAAATTCCATCACAACATACCTTCAAATCTCGTTTCACAAAAATCTACCATAACCTGTTGATTGATCGATATCAAGTTAATATTTCAAATATCTCTCGATACATAATAGTAGTTAGTAACACGATAATCTCAGATCGCGATGATAATGATATCGTTTCACAGTGTATGTATCTACCAAGCGAATTTAACGGTACGACCCAACCCAAGTGAAAGCATTCGATGGCAAGCTCATCTCTGGCCAATAGATATAGAGTCCACTCGGTTCTTTTTTCTTCTCTTCCAGCTTTTTTTCTTTTCTTTTTTTCACTTTTTGTGTGTGACAGACAAAGGTGAAGCTTATGTAACTTTCATTGTGCCAACGTCGATACTAGCAGAGAGAACGCCGGCCCAGGATTTTCCATATTCAGGCTGCTTCATTCCCTTCGAGGGAAAAAGGCGTACGTGATCCACGAAACGTCCGCGTTTTACGTAGAATCGCTTATACAGACTTTTTCTCCACTTAACGCGAAACGATTCACCACGGTTTCACGTACACTCTGTGACGATGCCGTCTTAATCACCAGTGACCTTCGGGAATACGATTACAGGAGATGGTCTGACGAGAAATTGGCGAGGACTTGCATCGTCTCCAATATACGGTGAGGCAAATTGAAGATATCGAAGAACGCCTTGCCTCACCATCGATATCTTTCCTGCTACCTTTTCCTCTTGCTTTCGGATTGTTGTGTCTTTAAGTTTCCTTCTTATTCCAATTGTGCGACACGGTGCGCGAACAGGAGATCGAGGTATTAGAAAGCATGCTGAAGGAGCATTAGACTTCTGGTACTCGAGTGAACGTGAAAACGTGTAAATTTCTTAGTCAGATGAGGAGACCTTTTTCTTTTTCCTTTTTTTATTCTTTAAAGTTAAATATACTTCTTAACAAGCACAGCTTTCCTCAAAGTGTACACTTTTAGTCGCATAAACGTGGCATATTTACGCTTCCTTGTACTCCTTCGGCATATGGGAACACAATAGCAAAATTTCACGGGGGAATGAAACTAAATTGCAGCTTTGAGAACCACAGGAAAAAACATGATAAGTCACGTTTCTCATTTCTTCCTGCAGGGGAGTAATTTTAAGATTCGATACACCATCGGCAAATTCAAGTCGACCAAGACTGCTTTTTATTTATTTTCGGGATTAAATATACGTTTCTACCACCACTTGAACATTTAAAAACTTGTATTTTTGGATCACACAGTTTTTTCAACTGTGTCGCATTAAAGTATTCCCTTTCACATAATGAGAAAAAAGTTGTTCGGAGTAAGGCGATTTGTAGTTTAGAGTAAAATCAGAAAACTTCTAAATTTATAATATTCTGCTTATAGAGAAAGACGAGACCCTCGTGAATTGTTGTCTCATAACACGATTCATTGCAAATTGATTAAGGGGTCACCTTAAGCCCATGATTTTATCGCTTTTGCGTTTTCAGAGTCACGAGAATACGATACGTGGAACTCGTGCAACACGGTATCTCGAAGTGGGTCCCTGAATCGATATTGTTCGAGTCGTTTCCATAAGGTGAACGTTGACTACGTAGGATTGAATCATCTAATAGTGTCTATCTAATAGTAGCGCATTTATCATGAAATAACGCAAGATCTGGGGAAATAACGGCCTACCATTTAATAGTAGGTAATCGTGTCAGGGTAGACGCGAATTTCTGATTTACTCTTACAACGCAAAACGTTTTCCCTTTCTCCTGATTTTCTCGTTTTTTCATCCTTTTTCCATCTTTCTTTTTGTATCCTCTTTTTCTTAAGAATACATTTGAAAAAAAAAGAAATTAGTATTGAAATGCATTACAGAAGACACTGGATAATTTCTCGCTATAATTTTAAAATTAGGTTTCGTAACCATGACGTGACTCTCTTTTGTTTACATTGAAAAACGTAAGAAGCGATTCGATAAAATTTCAAATGCCTTTTCTTTTTCTATTTTATTTCTTTTTATCGTTTTATTTGCTGTTTATTATTTCTATATTTTATTTTGTTCATTTTAAGTCACATGTCTCGGTTCCAAAGACATCGTTATCTATGAGAGGTAAATTCTAAAATATTGATACACAGCGGCTGTCTTTTTTACTTTTGGAGTGATTTGTCAATAACGATTGCGATCATTTTTAATTTTAATGACAAGATAAACAAATATCTCGTGGTTATTTGTGAGTCAGATAATTGGTAACTTCAATTTACTTATTATAATCTAGATATAATTCAGACTATGTACTATAATTAAATTTATTCTGTACCTGTAATTCTTACTGAAAAATGTCTCGAATTGAAAGAAAAAGAAATACAATTATATTCACATATGAAACGTGAAGCAAAGAGATAAAAATTGAATACAATGAAATATACGATTTAATAATAAAAAATATTTCGTTATATATACACATATATCGCGCATATCCACTCTACATAATTATATAGATAACATTATCAAAAGAAACGTGCATCGAACGCGGTATAAATGCAAATTTTCGATCTCTCGAGCACGTATACGCTTATATACACATGTCAAACATTGCAAGATAAGAATTATTAATACCAGTGGTCAGAAACGCGAGAAGATCGTACAGTTATTATGTATTTCATCAGAAATCGAAGAAAAATAAAGACGATGAAATCTACGAAATTAATTGCCGTTATCGCACCTCAAACGTTATCGATCGTCGTTATCGATATTTAAACCCGATCAAGTACTAAAATACTCGAATAACGCTATTACGAGTAAAAGGGCAAATAGCGGCATGAAAGCAGCAAAAGCATCGTGAAGACGTTTCGAACGCTCGAAAATTTTGGTCACATGAATCGGTGATCTTGAATCGCACTTGATCCCATAATCTTAAAGAATATTTGCAGATGACAAGATAGAGGAAACGTGTTTGTCAGTGAATTGGGACAATTCTGGCGCCGTCGAGGCAATATTCGCGTCTTGAACGATATACTGCCCCCTATTGGCGACATGTAGCACGTGAAACACTTTCTGTGATTCGATATCGGTCTGAGTGGGAATCAATGACTAATCCTGTTCTTATTTTCGCGATTCTTTTTTCGAAGTGACGTTATCCAAGACACATCGGTTCTCTGATTAGTAATGTTATATAATTTATTTTTATATTAATATATCGTCTATTCTTACATCTGCAATAACAATAACGAAATCCACGAAATATATTGTTACAGAGAAATTTATAATTGTTTCAATTTCATGGACAAAAGTTTCAAGACTATCGAACGAAACATCACTGCAATCATACCACACAATGATAATGTTAAATCTGATATTACATAGCAAATAATTTTTAGTTTTTCGTCAGTATTTCTTGAGACTTTCTAGCGAAATTAATTTATTCGAAATGTAGTGTGTCTATCTATCTATATGCTTGAACGCAATTCTTAATAGTTTCGAGTTATATCACAATAGTGTTCGCGACGGTTCCTATAGTTTCAGCTTTTCAACTGCAACCTCTGGATATGTGCATTTGTTAATTTCACGTTACGTGTACGTATTGCAGTTCACGGAGTGTCGAGTTACGATGTCACTGGCGCTCAGAGACGATTGGAGAGCAACGAGGTGATTCATAAAGCTAATAACAACCACCAACACCTAACCGATTCGACAACTGATGAACGTGACGACGAACAAACCGTCTACGTAATCGAATTTGAGTCCGAATCAAACGAGAAAGTAGAAACTCTACAAAACAAGGGAAAAGGCGGACCAACTGGTAAGCAATCACTCTTCATTAATATTAATTATAACATTACGATTACTTAAGTAGCACTCAAAGGAATAATGCAAATTGATCCTTGTTTCACAATATCAATAATCCACGATAATCATTCAAACAGATGATAATAGATGTAATAATCGCTTATCAGGAGTCGGCATTTATTTCGAGACTATGATAAATGTCGGAATTTAGATTGTTTGGGCGGTTTAAAAAATTTGATGAACGTAAACTTTAAATCATATTTCACTGCTACATTCGGTGTTTTATACGCGTTTTAATTTATTCAAGATAAATTATTCGAATTAGAGTTTTGATCGCTATAGTTTAAATTGAAATCTTCCAACATAGGTATTCAAACATTTTCCCAAATAACTCAAAACGATCTTCATCTTAAATATTCGAACAAATATTTCGGAAATTGATTCAGGCCGACGAGAAGAGTATATTAATTCTCCAAATCTTTTGAATTATTCTTCTAACTGTTTCAATCCTACGTTAAAGATTCTTGAAAACAGGGAATTCTCACTGAGCAGATAAAATCAACAAGTAAACGAGATCTTCCAATTACTGTTAACAACTTGCACATAATTCAATCCTAATTTCACACGCAGCATTTTATTAACGCCTTTTCTTGTTCAAGAGTGCGTATTAACAAATTAATTATATTGTTAAACAACGGACTATCGCTTTCCCATATAAATCTTTACGCCTGCTGCCTCGAAACGGTGTATAGTAGATAGGCATATATGTTACATATTTAACATTTCCGATGGTTCTGTTATCAGAATCGGTAATGTCACGCATTACGATCCGTTCGCCGATTCTAACCGCGTTGTTCGAAAACTTTCCGCACGATCTTTATTCTATCATCGTAGCAAGATCTTGCGTGGTACACCACTGGTCATTCGTGACCAAATTTGGTACTATCCTGCTATCGACTCTGTGAAATCGATACAATCTTTTTTCGTAGATACGCTGCCAATTTGCAAGAAAAAGAAAGGGCAAAATAGAATCTTTTTCCATGAATATTGGACATGTTCATTAGAAAGAAAGGAAATTTGGAAAAGCGTTTCCTTAGGGTCTAACAAATGATCGTCGATGCAATTTAATAAATATATCTTTGCAATTGTACAGTTTGGAGGTACAAGCTAAGATATGGAAATGTTATAGTAAAAATATTTTTATAAGATAATCTCAAAATAACGAATTTCACCGTGTTATCAGTCAATCGAATATTTTCCATTATATCGTACGAGGTTCTAGACATTTTATTTTTATATTTTATATAAAATCTCTTCTGAGAAACATCTTTTCACAATAGCGTCAAGTACAATGAACTTGATTTTTAAATTTCCTATTGTTATTTTATATTTTCTACTTCTGACTCTTGTTAATCTTTTCAAAAATATTTACCCACGTGCAACTGATTAGATGACAATACATTGGAAAAAACTTTTCGTCATCGAAACAATTCGCTATCTAGAATGTTCGTACATTTCCAAAATGTTTTAAATTATTCTTAATAAGGAATTTTTATTTATTTTCGATTTCATAAGGTGATCTTTGGTCTGCGTGCAATGGAACTACTATGTTGATATGAGATATCGGATTTTTGTTGATTTTTATTTATATTACCTAATGTTTAATTGAACCTCATTAATGGAAATAGACTATTCGATCCTATATTACTGGATGTAATTTGCATAAGACTTAACGTGAGAGCAGCTGGTAATTGAGATAAATCAATTCTAGCATTGATTTGGTGCAAATTATCAAGGAATGTATGGCTGTGAACTAACTCTCCAGATGGTACCGTAACGAAAGACGTCAGCAGAGTAAACTAATAACTGCTCCTCCCAGTTCTATGTGCATACGTGTATCTGGACCGTAATCTATTGCTTTAGATTTTCGTACATGAGTTTGGGATCACTATCTTGAATATCATTTTATTATGTTTCGTGAGCTTCCCTAAAAAGATTTCTATTCGATAGGTAAAGAACATGTACGACTGACAGCACGTTGAAATTTTTGACAAATTACTTATAGGATGATACAGTTAATCATTTTAAGCTCGAATTTATTAATATTGGAAAAAGATAATTATTTTTAATTTTTATATATATATACATATATAAATGTTAAATAAGTAACTCGAACACTTAGTTAAGATCTAGAACGATTTCGGAAATGATCCACAATCATTTTATCCTATATTATTATGACAACAGTGTATACTGGATTATTATGATACAATGAAATTGGATTTTAATAAACAATATGCCATAACAAAATTTCTATCTGTGGGTGTTAAACAGTACGAAATTATTTTGCTATTCAAAAATTTGTATCTCGAATAAATATGATTAAATAATACTATGCACAGAATTTTCAACGAATAACTTACAGTCCATTGAATGCACGAAAAGATGCATTGCCAGTCATTAATTTATTCATTTTTGTTGATTTGTGCATTCTGGTAACATTCAAGTAACCAAATAATTTGAAATCGATAAAAGTGTTCGTGTACTTATACGCAATACAGTGCACACACCCAACGACACACCCTTCAAGATTATCACAAAAGCTTAAAGTATTTAGATATTCTATTAACATTTTCGTTCCTTTTTTTCACAGGCGGATTTCTTTTTGTTTCAGCCGACGGAAACAGTCAGAATCCTTTGGACCCATGGTCGATTGTCTGGTACATAGGTTCATTCGGCGGCCTAGTTGCCTTTTTCCTCATAGTCAGCTGTTCGGAATGGTGTTGCCGTCGTGGTGGAAGACCATTGACAGTTCCGTATGCCCAACGAGGTGAGGTGATCAACGGTGGACCGGTAGTAACGGAAACACCACCCCCGCCGTACCATTTGTTCGCACCTCCTCCATACGATTCTGTAAACTATGGTGAAATCATGGACAAAACTTCCGGTGAAAAAGTGGACATCTATGTGATATCAGTGCCGATTCACAGACCCGTGGTACAAGTTCCAGCCTAAAATTTCCTTATGATAATCCTCGAGCAGAGGATATACGGCCGAATCGAGATAGAAACGACACCGATTTAGTCGAAATCGATTGACGATCGTTCGTTGGCTCACCAGTGAACAATAGTACAAATCGAAGGAGGATGATATATCGTGTCGATCTTGAAGAATTCGTCGAAGCTTCCTCGTTGGTAGTCCCATAACTGGGAGCATTTTGACAATCGTCTGCCGATCCATTGGACAATGTCGATCGAAAATGTGTTATTGGTCGAGGAGGAATGAAGGACGAACTCGATAAATATACGAATTTTAAAGATCCCTAGAGTATAACGAATACTCGAGAGGAAGAAGAGAATTCTTGTTCGTCTTGGAAAGAACAAGCAATATTTCGCAAATTACAGGTTATTCGTTGTAGTTAAGAAACTTGAAGTCGGGAGAGCACTTGAGGAAACGTGAGAAGCTTCGTATCTCTACGACCGATGAAAATCGAAGACACCGAGCTTAAGAAGCCTGAAAGCTTCCAACACGTAGTTAACGAGTATTTAAAGAGAAACTGTCCATCTTTCTGAATGACTATGAACGAAAAAAGAAGTCGGAGAACGATGGGACAATCTCTAGGGTCAAAAAAGTACCAAAGAGGGAGGAAAGGAAAAACAGTACTGAAATCTTATCGTACTCCGACTAGGTCAAACCGAAGCAATGTTCTCTGTGATGATGCTCGTAAAACGAGCTGAAATTAGCGAAAAGAAATTTAGGCGCGCTTTTCAAATGAATCCGTTGTGCGGGTATTAATTGAAGGACTTTGTTTCTTAATAACCCGGATGGGAATTTTGTGCATTCAAGCTCGATCTCGTTCGATAAAGGAGCAAAGATTAAGAACAATCGCGAATATTTTAACGAATTATTTGCCCGCATCACTGCCTGGTTAGGTGAATGATTAAAATTTGAAATCATTCTAATCCTTCCAGCTTAACGTCGATACACACTGGTTTTGCATTCGATTCGTAATAGCCAGTTGGAAGAACAAAAAACTGCCATATTTTCATACATTGTGTCATCCTTTTGACATCAATCGCCTGCGATACTACCTTTAAAACACTTTGTGAAAGCAACGCACAAGATGAGTTCAGATCGAGGATGATCATTTCATTCGCGCTTCTATGACATCAGTTTTTGAATAATTCAAAGTTGATCGAAAAATAATTCAATCATTGGACATCCTGATACAATTGAATAAGTTAAATAAAGCACTTAACATTGGTACGCGAGATAATTAGAAGATCATGGTTTAAGAGTTTTCTTATATATTGAACAATTTGAAAATTAAATGAGAATGTTTGACTCTTTTTCTTTACTTTCGAATTATCAAGTTACGTGATCTTTTAATTATTTTTAACAGTGTGACCAACAATAGATGTTTCGCTTAAGTAAATTTTTGTTTTAATATAATTTCGTTGATTGGTAAAATAATTATTATATATAGCGAGAATATGTGAATGTTTGTGATCGATATACAGACGCTAGTTCTTATAATTGAGTCAGCCTATGAATTTAAAATGATAGAAAATAGAAAAAATTTTCATTAAGTAAAATAAAATAATTTTAAGTGATAAACACGTGATGCATGTTTAATCTGAAACTAGAGGCGTTTAAAGACTTGATGATCGCCTTCACTTTTGTCAGCAAAACTATAGATCATTTTCTTTCAAATGATGTATTTTTTAATTCTGTATTAAAGGTATAAGACACTTACAGCTGAAAAGAATTAATTTAAAGGATATTTTAACTTTAATTTTGCAAAATTTAGCACATGAAAAAATTAAATAAAACAATATTTGTGTTTCTAAACAAAGAAAAACATAAAGGAACGTTTTTCTATATGTATATTATAAAAGATATATTGGAAAATATATAATTCAGTTTAAAAAATTAAAGTAATCTTCAAATCTTTAAAATGCTTCCATTTTTAGTATAGATACATAAGTAAATATGTGTATATATGAATTTGTGTATAGATATAAAAGTGTATATGCATCGCGTGTTGAATTATTCAAAATCATATTTTAGCTAATGAAATTTTTTGTATTTTCTATCATTTCGAAACTGTAACTTGGTTCAATTACTTGACTAATATTTAAAAAAAAAGTTCACTGTTTGGACACCCAAATTAATTATTTGAAATTTCTTAACAAATTGTACAAATCATATCAAGAAATACTTCATAATTACTGCAGTATACCGAATTTTACACATTAACTTAACTTTGATTCAAGAAAAATTAAAGTCAAATGAATGAATGACTTTTTTAAAAGCAGAAAGGAACTTAAATTGTTCGTTGAAATGTACGGTTGCAAGCGTTCCACTAATTACCCTGTATCTCTAATCAAAGCCAATTACAGATGCAGATCTTTTTTTCTTTTCAACGGTAATTCATACTCTTTTTCCGGGTTACGTATACATGTGAATATTGCATAAGAGAGCGCGCGTGTAATTTGCCTCGCAACCTGAATGATTTATCAACGGAACACGTGTGTGAGAAGTTCAAATAATTTCTAATATTGCTACACGCGATTGACCTCAATCGCGATCGTTCCAAGTCCGACAATTGCAGACGATTATTCATAGATTACGAGTTGACTGCCTTAAAAAGAATTTAACCGAAGAGGGTCACGAAAACAATTCGTGAAGTATTAATGCGGTGATGTCTCGAGAAAAGGACGATCCTTATATGATATTAACGTCCATTCGGCTATAATTATCGTTTTTTTTTAGATACCTTCGCGTAGATGATAAAACATTGAGTATTTTCTTATAAATATTTCGCATTTTTGCATTAACAGCACGTTCTGCTTGTTCGAATTCATAAATGAAATCACGAAGAAAAGATACCATGTTCGATATAAATGGCACTAATTTATGGTTAATTAAACCCGTGACAGGATTTTTTCAAAACAATTCATCGTATAAACTATTAATGGAAAATAATTGACTAGTTCATTTTTTCTAAATGAACGCAATTTAATTGTGAATTTACAGATCGAAAAAAATATGTTCTTATTAGGGAAAAATGTTTCCAATTTTTTAATTTGGACATAAAACGGTTTTATCGTTATGAGAAAACGAAATTAGTGTTTAAAGTGTAAAATGTTTCTTTTAAAAAAAGAAATATTAGATAAGTTTGATTAAAATGTGAAAAACACTCGAAAGGAAAATTAAGATATTACATGCGATTATGAGAAAGTCACATACTGTTAATTTTATTTATGATAATGTCGCATTGATCTCCGCCATTTAGTTTTAACTGATCAATTATTATTCGAATAAAAGCAGAAGATAAGGAGAATTTGTGAACGAATGAATGAAAGGGTGTTATCGTACAATTAAGTACAATGTCAATTATTATTATCGTTATTGTCACTAATAATGTTATTATCATTGGACACATAATCGCGTTCCCAATGGCGATTGGAACACATTATGATGAATTCGCTCTCATTAAGACTTGTAAAGTCACAGCGCCGTTGCTATTTATTTTTTATACTTTTATACATACTGTTTATACGTATTCAAACATCTCTATGTTACCAATAAAATTTCTTTTCTTGAATTTGTGTTATATGCGTATTTCAATTTATCTTTTCAATTATTTATAGTTTTATACAATATATAGGCGGCATGATAACTTTTTCAGAGGTTATCTTTTATAAAATCTTATAGTTTTTAATACTTGTTTCTTTTTCTATATGACACTGTGTATTAAATTACGAAATGGAATATACAAATTACAAAAATAATAAGTTTGGACTGAATGAAATGAAGAAATCTATCAGATCAAGAAAAATATTTAAAAGTTTATTTTATTAAATCAGAAAATCTTATCTTATTTGATTGCATATTTTTTATATAATATTGTTCAAACCTTAAATTATCATGAGTAAGTTGTAACTAAAACAAAACACAGAAAACGTAAAAAAAAATAATATTTCAATAAACGGACACCAAAAAGACATTTTTAACCGCGCGTACAAGTTCACCAACACAGCAGTACAAATTTAGTTGCAATTGCATCGTAGTCAACAGTCTTAACAACATAATATATTACTTCTTACATCAGGCTAAGGTTGTATGTGCATTTTTATTTTTAAATTTTCAATAAAAATCATATATTTTAAGTTTTCAAATGTTCTATTAAAGTCAAACTAGATAAATTAGGCAAGAGTGAATAAAAGTATTAAACATGGACAATATTTTCACTTCGAACTTTAAAAGTATAACCTAGTCATGGATTATTTAGGTGAAATAATAACTCTCGGAATTAACAGTATAATTTTTGGTGTTTGCTTGAAACAATATTTCCATTGCAAAAATGCAATTATAGCAGTTAAGGTAAATTACATATTTACTATCATAAAATTTATTCATATAATTATCAATTTATTTTATACCTAACCTTATTATACGATGAACATTATAGTTATTTAATTATGTTAGCTATAGTAGCACGTATGATTTATAAAAATACCTCAAAATGTTCAGTTTCTCTACAGGATGCAGAGTTTCATGAAATTGGACCACAATTGGAAAAGATTGTTGACAAAAGTACTGATAGTAAAATAAATTATATAGCTATTAGGGGTTTTGTGAAGCCCTTAGGAAAGCCATTGAATAGCATTAATGATAAAAAAATAACTGGTGTTATACAAAAGCTTAAAATCAAAGAACACGTTGTAGCCAGAACTACTGCTGGCTTCTGGTAATATTTTTGTTTAAAATATGTTATAAAAATTTGTCTAAAAGCATATGTATTTAGAACTAACAAAGTTTAATTTGTATATAGGTCAAATCGAGAATATACTGTTCATAAAGTATTTAACACTGTACCATTTTCTTTACAACAAGGAAATTATTCTGTAGAGATATTAGAACCATTATCAGCAGATATTTTACACTTGGATGTAGTATCTAATAACTTTAAACCAACTGAATCATCCTTTGTTGATCATTTATGGAGCTTTTTTACAGGTAAAGAATAAATATTTTACATTTTACAATAATATAAGAGTTTGCAAAATTGGTAAAAATTATAACTTATTAATTTCAGGTGTACGTCAACGTGGTCTACAATCTACCGAAGAAATACTTCGTGAAGGTACAGTTATTACTGGCATAGGTGAATTAGCAAGAACAAAATCCAAAACACTTACTTTACAACCTCCATTAGATGGTACACCATTTTATTTAACAAGCTTGTCAATTAGTTCTTTAATTCATAAATTAGATGAGCGTAAACGAACATATAGGTAAGTTATGTATTTTATGTAGTCAACAAATTTAGTTCTCAAACGTACTTTTATGTTTTAGATTATTATGTTTAATGTTCGGTGCAATTGGGATATTGATTGGTGGAATAGTTTTCCGACGTTATTGGAAAGAAAGAACAGAACAAAGATTAGCAGAAGAGCTTAGACAATCTTTGGCTGCATCTCGGAGAGAAAGGCGGCAAAGAGTAAGAGACACTGATCTCAGAGAAGATCAGTTGTGTGTTGTTTGTCGCACAAATCCTCGTGAGATTATTCTTCTTCCATGTGGACATGTCTGTTTATGTGAAGACTGTTCTGATGATATTACTAGTGATTGCCCAGTGTGTAGAGCACCAATCTCACAAAAAGCTGCAGCGTATATTATCTAATATCAGTATACCTATAATTTTCTTAAAATATATTTTGACTACATTTTTGTTGTATAATAAAAATTATTGTTGCTAAAATTGAAAAAGTAAATAAATATGAAGTGACTGAGGTTGCTAATAGAAAACTAAAATGTACTTCTGAATAATATAATTACTGGATATTGCAGAAAGTAATGCACTTTCAATTAAAATCAAACCTACATTAATAAACCTTAATAACACTAAAACTTTCCTAAAACTTTACACAAATATATTTAAATACATAAAATATCATCAAAATTCTAAATTTTCTAATTTAGTTTTTTCATTCTTTTTACATTCATCATTTGCAATAGAATCCATTATTCGTTTAACTTTAGTAGATTTTCCAATACCAAGCTTTGGAAGTCCTCTATTTAAACCTTCTAACATAATACATGCTTTGCAGATTTCTTGGCTAGATACAAATCCACAACGAGAACAATTTCTTCGTTCTGGCAATTTAATACTTTCTTTTAATTGTAATGTTTCTCCTACAAAAAAGATTATAACAGATAATTAATTAATAGAAATATTTTTATTTTTATTAATTACAATTTCATTTACCTGAATGAATGATATCTAATATAGAAGAAGGCCTAATTTTCTCTAAATCTTTAAGAAATGTTCTTGCATGTCCTCTGTATGCATTTGGTGCAAATACACATTCTGTTGAAAAATATACCAACTGTTTAAAATATGCATACATGACTATCTCTTTCTCGTATGCATATTTAAGTGGTTTGCATCGTTTTATGCAATCTGCTCCTGCCTATATTATAGATAAAATACTGATTTATATGCAAAATATAACTTAAAATTTTTTTTTATTTAACAAAATTATTTACTAAACTTACAGTAATGATTGAAGTACATCTTTGTAATCTTGCTATATCACCTCTTAAGATATTCATTAGAACTGTCTCTGCAATGTCATCAGCATTATGACCTGTTGCAATACAATCTACTGCTAATAGCGCTGCACCTCTATCTAAAGCTTGTCTTCGAAATACACCACAGAATGTACAATTATTTTTTCTTCCTATCTAAGATGACACAAATATTAAGTAATAAGTATAAATGACTCTAATTTAAAATTACTATGTAAACATATATACTTCTGAAACAATTTCATCCATTGTCCATCCATATAATTCTTTATAGGATAATATTTTTAATGGCAGTCCATAGTCATCTTTATTTTGCTGAACAGTTTTCAAACTATCATCTCTATATCCTAAAATAATACAGACTTTCTTAGGAAGAAAGTTTTATAATACTTGAACATTATAATATAGTTTTTTATTGAATACCAGTTATTCCTTCGTCAATAGATAAGAGGAAAAGCTCAATTCCATATTGGTATCTTTCATTTAAAGTTTTCAAAACATATGCAAGTACTGTAGAATCCTTTCCTCCTGATGCTCCAATAGCAACTTTATCACCAGATCTAAATAATTTACCTTGTATAATTGTATTATGAATCTCACTTTCAAAAGCAAAGAAAAAACATTCTTTACACAAAGCATGCCCAGTTTTAGGCCTCTGTAATTAATGACATTTATTTCTGTTATATTTTTATAATGTATAAAATTTATAAATTTTAATTAATTCAAGGAAAAGACATCTTACTTTAAGAATGGCATTTTGTCCGCATTTCCTTGAACATGAGATAGGCATTTTACAAAATTTTACAATGTTTTCCTTGTATCACAAATATCGAAACAAAATATTTATTTTCAACTCTAAAAATGTCTGTTTTTATTTACTAAATTAATCAAAAATCTATATATACCAAATTAAGCATATACTTATGTTTCGGTTTATCCATTTAAGGTTATAATAAAACCTTATTAATACGAGTATTCGAACACTATTCGAACACTAAAATTATTTCCAGATATAATATAAACAAAACAAATATTTATTTATGCGATATAAAAATTATTTAAATTTATTAACTTATATAAAAATGATAAAAAAGATCAAGCACACAGTTTTTACACGTATGAAATATGTTTTCCATCAAATTGTTTAATCTTCTGGTTTTTCTGGCGGCGGGCCACAAGGCTGTAACATTTTTTCCATAAGATTAAAACGAACACGTGCTTTCGCTTCGTTTTCCGCAATAGCGAAGAAATTTAATAAATCATAATGTCCCATATAAGAACTGCAAGAATCACGATGCTGATTTACAAGCCATTCAAATTTAGTTGTATCAGCATGACCTGTACCAATGTATTTTGACTGCAAATGTTCTAATTGACTATGAATGTTATATCGCTCTCCCATATTTTAACTTTTTAACGATAAATATTGAAATGCAACGCAAACTTTATTCTTATTGTTAAACTATCTGTTAATATTATTTTTTGACTATTATATTATTACTAACCATAAGTTAAAAATTTATGTTAAATGTGCGTACGTAATCATATACATTATATCTTACAGTAGAGAGCGTTCTTGTCGGTTAAATACATAATGCGGTTCTAACATAATACATGCTTTGCAGATTTCTTGGCTAGATACAAATCCACAACGAGAACAATTTCTTCGTTCTGGCAATTTAATACTTTCTTTTAATTGTAATGTTTCTCCTACAAAAAAGATTATAACAGATAATTAATTAATAGAAATATTTTTATTTTTATTAATTACAATTTCATTTACCTGAATGAATGATATCTAATATAGAAGAAGGCCTAATTTTCTCTAAATCTTTAAGAAATGTTCTTGCATGTCCTCTGTATGCATTTGGTGCAAATACACATTCTGTTGAAAAATATACCAACTGTTTAAAATATGCATACATGACTATCTCTTTCTCGTATGCATATTTAAGTGGTTTGCATCGTTTTATGCAATCTGCTCCTGCCTATATTATAGATAAAATACTGATTTATATGCAAAATATAACTTAAAATTTTTTTTTATTTAACAAAATTATTTACTAAACTTACAGTAATGATTGAAGTACATCTTTGTAATCTTGCTATATCACCTCTTAAGATATTCATTAGAACTGTCTCTGCAATGTCATCAGCATTATGACCTGTTGCAATACAATCTACTGCTAATAGCGCTGCACCTCTATCTAAAGCTTGTCTTCGAAATACACCACAGAATGTACAATTATTTTTTCTTCCTATCTAAGATGACACAAATATTAAGTAATAAGTATAAATGACTCTAATTTAAAATTACTATGTAAACATATATACTTCTGAAACAATTTCATCCATTGTCCATCCATATAATTCTTTATAGGATAATATTTTTAATGGCAGTCCATAGTCATCTTTATTTTGCTGAACAGTTTTCAAACTATCATCTCTATATCCTAAAATAATACAGACTTTCTTAGGAAGAAAGTTTTATAATACTTGAACATTATAATATAGTTTTTTATTGAATACCAGTTATTCCTTCGTCAATAGATAAGAGGAAAAGCTCAATTCCATATTGGTATCTTTCATTTAAAGTTTTCAAAACATATGCAAGTACTGTAGAATCCTTTCCTCCTGATGCTCCAATAGCAACTTTATCACCAGATCTAAATAATTTACCTTGTATAATTGTATTATGAATCTCACTTTCAAAAGCAAAGAAAAAACATTCTTTACACAAAGCATGCCCAGTTTTAGGCCTCTGTAATTAATGACATTTATTTCTGTTATATTTTTATAATGTATAAAATTTATAAATTTTAATTAATTCAAGGAAAAGACATCTTACTTTAAGAATGGCATTTTGTCCGCATTTCCTTGAACATGAGATAGGCATTTTACAAAATTTTACAATGTTTTCCTTGTATCACAAATATCGAAACAAAATATTTATTTTCAACTCTAAAAATGTCTGTTTTTATTTACTAAATTAATCAAAAATCTATATATACCAAATTAAGCATATACTTATGTTTCGGTTTATCCATTTAAGGTTATAATAAAACCTTATTAATACGAGTATTCGAACACTATTCGAACACTAAAATTATTTCCAGATATAATATAAACAAAACAAATATTTATTTATGCGATATAAAAATTATTTAAATTTATTAACTTATATAAAAATGATAAAAAAGATCAAGCACACAGTTTTTACACGTATGAAATATGTTTTCCATCAAATTGTTTAATCTTCTGGTTTTTCTGGCGGCGGGCCACAAGGCTGTAACATTTTTTCCATAAGATTAAAACGAACACGTGCTTTCGCTTCGTTTTCCGCAATAGCGAAGAAATTTAATAAATCATAATGTCCCATATAAGAACTGCAAGAATCACGATGCTGATTTACAAGCCATTCAAATTTAGTTGTATCAGCATGACCTGTACCAATGTATTTTGACTGCAAATGTTCTAATTGACTATGAATGTTATATCGCTCTCCCATATTTTAACTTTTTAACGATAAATATTGAAATGCAACGCAAACTTTATTCTTATTGTTAAACTATCTGTTAATATTATTTTTTGACTATTATATTATTACTAACCATAAGTTAAAAATTTATGTTAAATGTGCGTACGTAATCATATACATTATATCTTACAGTAGAGAGCGTTCTTGTCGGTTAAATACATAATGCGGACTTTTCATGTATTTAACAAATTTTAATATAAATTATTATTAGTTAATAATAAGATGTAGCAAAATAAAATTACGGAAAAATAATAAATACATTGAAATGTATATAAAATAATTATTTTATATTTTATATTATATATTATTATATATATATTATTATATCCATTAGTACAAAATACTTATTTTACACCAGTTTAAAAAACAATAAGAATGATATTTATTTAATATAAATAAAAAAATTCTAGTAACAAAATATTTAAATTATAACTTTAACATTTAATTTGACGATACAAATTAAAGGTTCCTTTCTATTTGTAATTCGTATATTTATTAATAAAAATTCAAAAATAAATATATCTATATATATATATATATATGAGCGTAATGAACAAATTTATTTCAACCAATTGCATCAAGTATAATAATATTTAAGATTATTCTGCAATTTCGTTCACTTCATATTTAGCCGCAAGGGTGCAGCACTTATCGCTTGTTACGTCAGACAATAATGACGTGCTAATGGTTAATGGCTTCTACTTACTTGAGCTACCTTTATGAGAAAGCCAAATACAATCCAAAGAAAATTCATGAGATATGATGCATCGGCTAGTAAAACTATAAAAATATGATTGCCTGAACATTTAATTGTTACGATAGCTATTAATTTTTATCAAATTTTATTCGTGGCCTACGAAATATGTGTTAAAACTGTTTACTGAGCAACGAACGTAACCATTATATTCATCGCTACGTTGGACCAGCTCGATGCAAAGAAATTCAACATTCAGTGTGATATCACAAGATTTATATTGCACGTGAGTACTGATATTCGTCATTAATTTATAATTTCTTTAAAAACGATAACCAACTTTCTTTTAAGAAAACTGGGCAACTCCCTTGCCACCCAGTCGTTAACAATGGCGGCTATGCTAGCTCGGCCGAAAAATTCTTTTCTGTAAAATATTCTTTAAATCAACAAGTCATAAGTTTATACTTAAAAAATTTTTATTTTTACATGAAGATAGAACAGTTTATTAAAAGCTATCGTTCTCTATTATACGTATCGAAGAATTGTGTTCTTCGAAAATACTGTTACGTCGACTAATCTATGCATTTTCGTGTCCGTGTGTCTTTCTACATATGCGTATTATTATGTGTGTATAACATCCATGATCATCTGTATGAAAGTATTGAAGAGAACAGAAATAATATAATTTTTTAATTTTTATTATAGCAATTAGTGTTAAAGTAAGTGTTAAACGTTTCATTTGTTAAAATTAAATAAAAAAAACAACTGTTTTGTTATTTCAATACCTTTGTAATATTTGTATTATATATATATATATATGTGTGTGTGTGTGTGTGTACTTGTACTTGTATATTTAATTTTATACATTTATTTTTATAGAAAGAAATATTTACACAAATATATAGACTTCTGTACAAATATAATTTTATGAATTCTTATTATGTTATATGTTAATAATATAACTAAAACAGTATTAATTAATTATGCATATTAATTTTAGCTAATTGATTATATAAATTTTTGTATTTTAGTAGGTGACATGCCTAGCAGCCGTGATATTGAAAGAGCTGAACGTAATGGAAGATTTCGATCACGTAGAAGAGGTAGTACCAGCAGTGATATAAATCGACATAGTTTTGAAGCACCTGACAAGAAGCACAGAAGACATGGGAAAAACAAAAGTTCTGGAAAGAAGAAAAAGAAGAGATCAAGAGATAAGTCCATAGAAAATGTCCCAACTGTAGCTTCTTCCATTGTTAAACCTTTGGTTGAATACTCAGATGTGAGTAGTGAAGACTTATCTGAACCAGAAGCTGGAGAAATTCAGTCAGAAGATAGTAGAGGTAATAGCTATACAGATGGAGAAGTACCTGAACCAGTTTTACAAAGACGTTATTATGGAGGAAGTCCTGTTCGAGCTCTTGGAGCATCTCCTATTAGTCTTTCACCATCTCCACCAGTTCAACATAGGCACTCTAACAGACATTATTCACCAAATGAACAACAACCTTCAGCAATGCATGGTGGAACACCTGAATATGAGGAAGAATCTAGACGATATGCAAGAAGGAAAGAGAAAAAACATAAACGAGAAAAGAAAAAAAAAAGGAGTCTTAGTCCTTCATCTAGCTCTGGGAAAAAGAAAAAACGAAAGTCTAAAAGACATTCTCACAGTCTGAGTCCACATCGTATTACAGATGAAATTATCATAAGTCCAGACCATGAAAAACCAGTTGGAAATTGGTCAGAGTCACCACCTTTACCATTAAAAGACAGTACATCGCCAATATCACCTGCTACACCCCAAGAACAAAGGTGTTTAAGTGATGTGGAACTTGAAATAACAAGACAACCTCGAAATGTAACTCCTCCACCACTTCCTCCAAGACCAACAGAATCTCCACATACTCCTTTATTACCTCCAAGAACGACAACGCCAGAGAATAATAAAGCAAGTTTGTCCACAATGAAACATACCCCTGAAAGACAAAAGCATAGTCCTAGTATTCATACACGACGTAGTAGCGTTAGTCCAGGACCCAATATTAGTTCAAGTCGTAGGAAACCACATAGTCCAAGTCCACTATCAAGACGACGGGACCATAGCCCAACAAGGAGAAGAGATTTTAGTCCAAGTCCAATGGTGCATAGACTTAGGCATAGTCCTAGTCCTTCTACAAGGCGGAGAGAGTTTAGTCCGAGTCCTGTAAGCCATCGACGTAGAGAACCTGTTAGTTCCCCACCTTCGAGTAAACGTAGAAGACGAGAAGAATCTGAACGGCGGCATAGACATCATGAAAAGGATAGAAGAGATAAAAGGAAATCGAGATCAACTAGGAGTCCTACTGGAAGCAGGTATGACATATGATATAACAATTTAAAATCATATGTTTTGTTTTTAAAAGTAAAATAAATAAATTTCTTTTTAGATTGCATTTACCCCTTTCTCGTTCACGATCACGAAGTCCTGGACGATGGCGAAAGTTACAATCACGATCTAGATCACGGTCTCGAAGAAGGAGTCGTACCCCAAAAAAATCCCGTTCCCCTAGCAAGTCACATAAATCGGCAAGAAAGCATAAATCAAAAAGTCCACGTCCTTCGAGAATACCTTCCCCTTCTCCGCATAGATCCAGAGCGCGAAGTCCTTCAAGTATTACAGCAAGAAATCTTCGAGTACAAGCAAAGATTAGTGAAACTAGTTTATTTGCTGAGCTTGTAAAAGATAGAAATATGAGGGAATTAGCATACAAAAAGTTACAAGCAGCTAAAGAGAAAGCTGTTAATCAAGATGAAGTTCAAATTATAGAAGGCACTGACGAAAAAGATGGTAGTAATGCATCCTCCGAAAACAAAACTTCCACTGACAATAAAGACAAATATGTAAATCATAAAGAACAATTGAAGACAACAAGTGAAAGTATGAAACCTGTTGATCTTGTGGATATACCTGTTCCAATATCGGATGATAGTGGAATAGCAGGCAAGACACCACCATTACCAATTACACAAAGCATTAATGCAAATGCAATACCTGGAGGTAATCAGCATCCTCCAATAATTGTATATACTTCACCTACAACTACAACTAGTGGTTGTCCTGTGACTGTCACAAGCAGTCCAAGTTTTCCAACTCTTACTAATCTACAAGCACCACCATTGTCACAATCTGAGTCTACAAATGTAGCAGGTTTAGTATCTATGCCAGTGCCTATTCCTGTACCAGTACCTGTGCTCCCTAATTTATCTGTTCCACCACCACCTATACCTATACCAGTTCCAGCACCAAACACAGCTATGTCTAAATTTAATCCTCCCAACAATTTAGTTCCTCTTAAGTCAGTAGATCCTCCTAAACCTCCTATTGTGGCATTCAAAACTAAGAGTTTATCACGATTACCATTACCACCTGGAATTAATCAAAACGACTTAGAGAGTATAGACTCACCACCGAGTCGATCTCCAAGCCCGCCTAGTAAGGCACAAATGAAATTCCCAGCTTCAACTCCAAAACCACCACAGAAGAAAAGTATTAAAGACTTACCTATGCCACCAGGTAAATTTGTGCTGACATCATACATAATTTTAATATTATTAAAATAATATTTTCTTTATTGTCGTTTTATATTTAGTTGTTCCTGGATCAGAAGATTTAAGTGGAGAAGATGATCCTAATGCAACACCTCCTCGTACAAAAGTTGAACGTATTCCACCAAAACCGAAATTAAAGAGACCAAAAATTTTAAAGCGTAGAGGTTCTAGAAATTGTCATACCCCTATGTCAGCTTCTAGTGGTAAAGATTGGGGAGAACGCTCTGTCGATGTATTTGAAGTTATAGCTCAAATAGGAGAAGGTACTTATGGACAAGTTTACAAAGCTCAAGACAAACGAGCTGGTGTACTTGTTGCATTGAAGAAAGTTCGTCTAGAAAATGAAAAAGAAGGGTTCCCTATTACGGCAGTGCGTGAGATTAAAATCTTACGACAACTTAATCACAAAAATATTGTCAACTTGCGAGAGATAGTTACGGATAAACAAGACGCATTGGACTTTAGAAAGGTACTACGTTAAAACACACGATATAGTGACGACGTTATTGCATATTACAATTTTATAGGACAAGGGTTCATTTTACCTTGTATTTGAATACATGGATCACGATTTGATGGGTCTTTTGGAGTCTGGGATGGTTGACTTCAATGAAATGAATAATGCAAGCATTATGAAACAGTTATTAGATGGATTAAATTACTGCCACAGTAAAAACTTTTTACACAGAGATATCAAGTGTTCTAACATACTAATGAATAACAAGTATGTAAAATGTATTATTAGGGAAGAAAAAAAGTTGT